CCTTTACACTTTGTCTCGATGCTTTCTATGTTTCACGCGAGGCACTTTGAATCGCCGTGTTCTTGAGATGCAAAAGTGAACTTGCTTTTTCTTGCCTACTGGAGCTTTACAACAAGGTTCAAGACCACCTGTGAAACATTAAGTAACGCCGCCTTGGGTGCAGAAATGTGATGTATTTCTTTTTGCATTCCAGAGCTACTCAGTTGTCAAACTTGTACAGTTGATGGATTTTAACGACTGTGTTCTATCGAGGAAAATTAGATCGGATTGGGACCGGGCATCAATAGAGACTACATTTTGAATGGTTTGGATCAGACTGAGGGCAAAACAACTCAATCAGGACGTCTCTGACTCTCAGTATGGATCCAGTAACTACTTGCAGGGTTTTCTTTTTGCTTTATTTGGGTGAACTGACCCTTCAAATCCCTTTCTATCGCACAGCCTGCTAGGTCACGTCCACATGGAAACACTGACACATTAAGAGTCCAGCCGGCTCCCTCCAGCGCTCCCCCAGCTCACATCCCCGGCTGACAGACAGGCCTCCATCGACTGGCCGGCTCCAGGGAGACCAGAGCAGCGGCAGCAGCGCCCCGGCTGCTCTATCGAGAAATTGACCGCGGGAACAATTACCCCCGCAAATGACGTATCAGCCGAACGGGTACGGCCGTTGAGAGCGCCATTACGGCGGCGGAGGACGAGGGAAGGGGAGCGAGAGGAGGCGGAGAAGGTGGAGTGTTTCCATAGCGACCTAATTGGACATGTCCCTCCACCGTTTCTCCATCATATTGAATTAAAGTACATCATCCTCTCGTTGCTACTCCGGCCCGTCATTTCAAAAAAAGGCTGCTTTTATTCCCCTCACACCACATAAAAGGACACTGAGAAAAAAAAAAAAATAGACATATTGTTGCTGCTCCAATTACCTTGTTGTAATCTAATCTGAGGATTCTGGCTGCAAGAACTGAAGCTTCTTTGTCCTCCTTCCTCCTGCCTGCTCCCTGGTGGATGCCCATCACCTCATCATCCTCCGTCTTTCGCAGGTCTTGTTTATTCCTTGTTTGTGTTCCCTCCTCCGCCTGCGACATATTTCCATGTCGGCTTTGTGATGACGCCGGCTGTTTGGGAGTCCTTATCGGAGAGCGCGGTCTTGTCTAGATCCGTGCCAGCGTACAGTATTGGTTTGATTGAATTGCGATATATTTGTGAGCGCGCGTTATCGCTCCGGTGGCGGTTTTATGGAATCAGATATCTGCCGCGTTGATGCAGGAAGGAGATAGGAGGGATGGATGTGAGGGGAACAACAAGGTGTTTGTTTAGACAGCTAAATTCATCGTCATGGCTGTGTGTGTGTGTGTGATGTCCTTGACCTCAGCCCGAGGGGGTCCAGGGTTCGGTGACTAAGCTGTTTTATCGGGGTGTGAAAGACTACGTCAGCCCGTGTTGCCCCGCAGGCACAGCTGCACTCCTATTACAGCAAACCTTGCCGTGCTGCCTTTTCGCTTCCTATTCATTTTTTATGTAGAATGTGGCCGGTTGTGGAGCTTTTCAACCTCAGAGCTGCAGACAAAATCCATTGCGAGACTTCAAGAATAGCAGGAATTACAAAGTTTTCCGCTGACATAGACAGTATGTCCACTTTTTACCATATCTCGAGCAAAAAAAAAAAAAAGACTTGTTTTTGCTCGTCGAAAGATCGAGGGAGGACCAGTGGAGCCCCCAACAGCACTCCTCGGAGGTTTGCCAAATGAGAAGGAGATTTACCTGCCTGGTGCTCCTCCAAGCGCTCGCTGTTAGAGAAAGGCAGGAAGCGATGGTGAGAGTTTCTTTTGGGGGGTAAAAAAAAAAAGAGAGAGAGAGAGAAAGGTTTTTCCTTTGAGAGCATCCTGTTATTATTCTGCCTCAGGCACCAAGCAGAGAGAAATGAGTGTTCTGTGTTTATGGGACCTAACACAAAACATCATGTACACGCGCTTATGCTGGCACACACGCTCGGAAAGACTGGCAGCGGCATATCAATGAGATGAAGGAGGTAAAAAAAAAAAAAAAGAAGAAAATAAACACGTCTGGCAGCATGTGAGGAGGACCAATCAGCGGCTACTCGTCTCTCAAGGGCAGAAATTGGAGCTGACGCCTCAGATGTGTTGCAGGGGGAAGTTCATATCGCATCTCGCTGTGCGTAAATGATTGCGGCGTCGTCGTATAATGTGAATAATATAAAGTGTTTATTAGCTGTGGGAGCGGCGCGATTGGCAACGAGCGTCTGCCAGTTCACCGCAGTGGCCCGGGCTGAAATTTGTCAACGATTATTAAATGGACTGCAATAAAATTTTAAAGGCGTGTTTGTCTCAGGACCGTGCATAAAGATGGACGGACTCTGGCGATGCAGAGCCGCAGCGGTTTCAACTCGTAAATTAATCGGCAACTGTTTTGATAGGTGATTAATTGGTATGAGGCTTTTTTTTTTTTTTTTCTTTAACTAAAAAAAGTAAAAATTCTGTGATTCCAGCTTGTTAACTTTGTATATTTTCTGGTTTGTGGACAAATCAGCATATTTGAAGACAACAGTTTGGGCTTTGAGAAACAGTAATTGGACATTTTTCACCATTTTCTGACATTTTATAACCCAAACAACTGACTGATCAGTCGGGAAAATTATCTACAGATTAATGAACGATGTGTGTGGTGGCTCCAGCAGATCTTACCAGTGCTTGACTCCTACTAACTCCCAGCTAATCCAAAAATTAGCAAAGAGGTGGAGCATGACTGGAACTACATGCTATTATTTATATAACGTTAAGCCTTAACACAATTTAAACAGGTGACTTAAATACAAATCCACCCCCGTAAAGTTCTCATGAATTAGAAAATTAGCTATAGAGACCAAAACTATTTATTATATCAGGTTGTAAACATGTTTATTTCTGCAGTATAGTCAGACATTTTAACATGGGGGGTTTATGGGGATTGACTTGCTTTTGTAGGCGGCCTCAAGTGGCCATTCGAGGAACTGCAGCTCATTCGTCAGATGTGGAGGTTGCTTCTTGCTATGGATACCTGCAGAGAAGACAGAACAAGAGAGAGAAGAGACAAAAATATGGTGGCATATAAATGCTTGGAGAGTGAAACTGGAGATCTGTTAACTTTTCTTTTCTTTCTTCTTCATGCACCATCAGCAGGTTTAAATATGTTTAAAACTTATTTCCTTTGATTTATCAGTTGATCAACCCTCACCTGTGGTCCTGAGCTGGGTAGTAATGGAAAAGAATGAGAATGTGAGTGGATGAGTTTCCTCTGTAGGGTAGCTGGACTTAGCTTTGCTGGAGGGATCATATGTCTCATATGGCCTGTGGACACCCTATAAAACATTGCTGGGAAGACCAAGATCTGGAGTGACCTCCTTAACCTGCTGCCACCATGACCCAACTCTGGACAAGAAAACAGGTGACTGGATGGATAGACTTGGGTTTAATTGGGAGGCTGTTGCGAGACCTTCACATCAGCCTCAGTTGTACTTTAGCACGAATTAGCAAATACTAGCATGCTAGCACTTTTTCTACATATCCCTGCTTAACATCAGCATTAGAAAACCACCTGTCTAGTATGGAGTAGGTCTGCCTGGTGCCATTAAAACAGCTCCACAAGACTTTTAGGGCTGTTTTGTGTCCTTCTGGTCTTGTGGGTTGTATGGAGCCACCATTTTATTGGGATCTACTGAGTGTGAAGGCCAGATAAACATCTTGGTCCCGTTGTCATGTTCCTTGTGAATTTTTTTTTTGTCTTTTCTTTTCTGACATTTGCTGTTGCGGGGCCCATTAGGAGGGTGCTACATGTCAAAACAACATCCTCATGAATGCCACGACGGTTTCCCAGCAGAACATTGCGCTGTAACGAGAATGTTATTCACTCCAACTGCCAGCGCTTTAAACACCGTGAGGTTCAAAGCGACGCTGCGCTCACAGGCCTCGCACGGATGTGGAGGCTTGGGTCGGTAATCAGCCCGAGGAGCAGCAGAAACACCTCTGACCTCCGGATTTGACCCGTTAATTAAACACGTCGGACTCCTCTCAGCTTTCGGGTGCTTCTGGTGCTGGCGAGGAGCTTTCGGGGCTTCCTCCCCTCCACTGGCATTATTAAGGCATCAGACTGAACTCCTCTCGCCCGTTTCCAACGAGCTCCTGTCCGTCGATTGTGGCAGAAAACGGCGAGGACAGCAGCTCACGGCCAGCCGTCGGTGCATTATTCATGCTGCTTGTAAATTGGCTAGCTGCAGTCATGCTCGAGAGGAAACGCTCCGAGTTCGAAACACACTTCTTCTTCTTCTTCTTCTTCTTCTTCCCACACAGCGGGGCCGCCGCTCGCAAACTCCAGGCTTCCTATAGCTCCGTTACGCACAGACCGCTGTTTCATTTTGTTTCCCATCACCTATAATTCTCCGACGGCGCCGCTTCGATGCTCCTGTTTTCCTCATGTGCGATATGCTGAGTTATACCATATGCACAGCGTCCCACCTGTTCGCTCGTGTATTTCCAATACATGTGCTTTTTCTTCTTTTTCTTTTCTTTGACGATCTATGGAGGTGCCAGAGGACCTAATGCAATTGTGAATTATTGGGACTTAGGTAACTCTTTTATATTGCTTCCAGGCCCAAACATACTTTGAGGTAGAACCCAATAAAGCCACAGTGATTTATGAACTCCGCTTTTTCATCGGTTTTGGTATCCGTTCTGTTTTTTTTTTCTCTAAAGCAATCTTGAAAGGGGGCATATCTGTAAAGTGATAAGGAGAATGTTGATGATGATCGTTTTTGCATGCGGCGTGGGGACCAGAAAGAGAAAAAAAAAGGGAACAAATTGATGCCATTATACCGAATGGAAATTTCTGCCATGTTTGAGAATGACATCCAAACAATAGCTTTGTGTTTTCTTTTAAAAAAAACAAAAAATCTCCTTTTCTTCCCTCTCTCTCTCTCTTCCTCTTTCTTTCTCCTCTCATATCTTTAGATAACAAATACGCCCCTGCAGTGAGTCTAAACGGTTTTATATTCATCCTGGGAGGAGCCTACGCTCGAGCTACCACTATCTATGACCCAGACAAAGGCAACATCAAGGCTGGTCCCAACATGAATCACTCTCGGCAGTTCTGCAGGTAAGAGATAATTAATGTAGCGGCACCACATGTAAGTTTAATCCCCAGCGTGGAATTTGTACAGATATTTTTTTTTTTTTTCAAAAGCATAAATTGTACGTTTGCCTTGTGTGAAGCTTCAAAAAAAAAAAAACAGCTCTGACATTATTACACAGCCTTAAAAAAATAATGTAAAACTCAAGCTTATTAGTAGTCTGTCAGTCTTTGTGTCACAACACGGGTTGCACGGGGAAAATGCACGGAGGCCAGCTAATTAAAACCCGAACAAAGCCGGTTGTGGGCTGACAGTGTTTCCAACGCGGGTTGTGAAACTTCTCCCTCGGTAGGAGGACTGGCTTTCTAATTCACGGGCTTGATTTTTTAAAATTTGCTTGATCAGTAGCGCTGCTGTCTGTCGTGCCGAGAGGACGGAGACACGTTCAGTAGCAGGGACGCCTGTTTAACTCGGCCTTCCTTCTAATCATTTCGTGTAAATTCTCCTTTTGTGTGGGGTAGTTTGTATAGACAGATGGGTGACAAATTAAAGGAAAAACCAACATGAGGTGTCTTATAATGTGCCGGACCACCATATACCACTAGAACAGCTTCAATTCTCAGTGCATTGATTGTTCAAAGTCTCTGGAGCTCCACTGGAGGGATACGACTCCATTCTTTCAAAAGATTCTCCATCATTTGGTGATTTGATGGTGATGGTGGTGGAGGCTGACTAACACTCCACCATCAGGATAGAAGTGTTTCATCACAGGATAAAGGTGATCACTCAGAACAACTTTCACACTGATTTACCTCAATTTCGCTCCGAATCAGTCAATCAGAATCTGGTGTGGAGTCTTCGTCTGAACCAATTTTAGACCCGGATCGTTCCGGTAATGTGAGGAGGTTTACTGACTGATATTTATAAGTCAAAATCTGGATGGTTGCAAATATTAGGCGACTGCCCGGAGCAGTGGAGCCTGTTGCCAAGCAGCAAAAAATATTCTGTTCCTGGAGGCTAACATTAGCTACAGATATTAGCCCTCTGAACCAGTTCCTGTCACATTTTTAGTCACTGTGGGCTCATTTTTCAATACAATACAATGATGGAAACAGCATGGCTGGAAGCGGAGAGAACTGTCTTGTGTGCAGTGTGACAAAGTTATTAGGCCATAAATAGAGACAACAAAAGCTGAATTTATTTGATTTGTTGTGCAAAAATTGGGGGAAAAAAAACCTGGATTCAGCACTCAGGTGTTGTCAATACAATAAAAACACATTGACTCGACATCACGGGTGTCGAATCCTGGTCCTGGAGGGCCGCAATCCTGCATGTTTTAGATGTTTCCTTCTTCCAACACACCTGATTCAAATGATCAGGATCGCTATCAGGCTTCTGCAGAGCTTGATGATGAGCTGATCATTTGAATCAGGTGGAAGAGGGAAACATCTAAAACATGTAGGATCGCGGCCCTCCAGGACCAGGATTGGACCCCCCTGCTCTACATGCTGTGGGTATTTTACTTCTTACATTGTTCATGTATTTCCACACTTGTCTCCTCTCTGCTCGGTGTGCACACAGCCTGCAGCTCAGCCGAACGCTCACACAATGTTCATCAACTGTTGCACAATCTGGTGCAAATATATTTTAACCAAACGTTGTGTAAAATAAAATCTTCCTGACCAGATTAGTGGTTCAGTGACAGTTTCTGGCTCTGATAAATGGTGACACTTTGTACGTTTTTATAGACGACATTCTTTTCAAACCAACCTACAAGTTTTGGGGTTTAGGGGGTAAAAACTTATAAAAAGTTAAATCTCACCTCCGGTCCTCGCTGAAGAACTCATGCCGACATTTTCTCATCCAGACTCGCTTCTGCTTTTGGTTTTTCTCGCTGCAATGAATTATTCACATTACAGCAAGTTTTTCCACCACAGTCTCCGTTTTGTTCACATCTGCTTCACCGTGAGGTCTCGTGCTCCATGTGGACCATTAGTGTGAGCATGTCTGAGATTACAGGGAAGAATATTTGTGAATCTTTTAAAACTTCTGTCATGTGAAACAGGTTTAAGGGGACAAGTGGACCAAAAATATTCCAGTTTCCAGATTTTTCCTCTAAAGTCCCTCCCTGGTCGTTGATTAAACCCATAAAAGCTCCTTAAGTTATATATTCAGAATCTTTTTTCCCATGAAAACAATCCCTGCCTGCCTTACAATAGCTCGGATGCAACTCAACCCTGCTGCTTCCATCAGCTCTATGATTTATCTCCTCACTTGCTGCAGCTCGAGCACACCAGCTCACCTCCGACTCTGCTGAAACTATTCTACGCTGCACGATGGCAACTCAGACAGACTCTAAACCTTGCAAAAGTTGACAGGATTGTCTCTAGTGTTGACTGCTCATGATGTTCTCTAGCAGCCATATGGAGTTGTTATGAAGAAGGTAACAAAAAAAATCGATTTCCTTCCCCCCAGAGGGAGTCTTCAAGTTGTCATCTGCCTGTAGTGAAGTGTTAGTGTCCTCAAATGAAATCCACCTGCACTCCACACGTGTAGCTTCACCACCATTAGCAGACACATTATGAGAATTAGCAGCAGTGGGGATCACATCCTGGTATCCCCGTCAACCGGAGCCACTGAGGTGTGCAGTTTGCTGGAATAATGAACTCGCCAGTTTTCCAGGCTTGAGCCCCTTTATTTTTTTATTTTTATTTTTATTTTTTGCAGAAGCTATAGCGAGAAAGGAAGCATGCATGAAATACATTCGGGAGGCAATTACAGACAGTGATCTTATGTGCAGAACGTACAACATAAATCATGTTGTCAGAGTTATTGATAAGCTGCAGCAGCACACGGCAGGCAGCTGTTCTGCTACATTTAACTAAGTCTGACACAAGAGAGGAAGAGACGCCGGGAAAAAAGGAANAATTAGCAAATACTAGCATGCTAGCACTTTTTCTACATATCCCTGCTTAACATCAGCATTAGAAAACCACCTGTCTAGTATGGAGTAGGTCTGCCTGGTGCCATTAAAACAGCTCCACAAGACTTTTAGGGCTGTTTTGTGTCCTTCTGGTCTTGTGGGTTGTATGGAGCCACCATTTTATTGGGATCTACTGAGTGTGAAGGCCAGATAAACATCTTGGTCCCGTTGTCATGTTCCTTGTGAATTTTTTTTTTGTCTTTTCTTTTCTGACATTTGCTGTTGCGGGGCCCATTAGGAGGGTGCTACATGTCAAAACAACATCCTCATGAATGCCACGACGGTTTCCCAGCAGAACATTGCGCTGTAACGAGAATGTTATTCACTCCAACTGCCAGCGCTTTAAACACCGTGAGGTTCAAAGCGACGCTGCGCTCACAGGCCTCGCACGGATGTGGAGGCTTGGGTCGGTAATCAGCCCGAGGAGCAGCAGAAACACCTCTGACCTCCGGATTTGACCCGTTAATTAAACACGTCGGACTCCTCTCAGCTTTCGGGTGCTTCTGGTGCTGGCGAGGAGCTTTCGGGGCTTCCTCCCCTCCACTGGCATTATTAAGGCATCAGACTGAACTCCTCTCGCCCGTTTCCAACGAGCTCCTGTCCGTCGATTGTGGCAGAAAACGGCGAGGACAGCAGCTCACGGCCAGCCGTCGGTGCATTATTCATGCTGCTTGTAAATTGGCTAGCTGCAGTCATGCTCGAGAGGAAACGCTCCGAGTTCGAAACACACTTCTTCTTCTTCTTCTTCTTCTTCTTCCCACACAGCGGGGCCGCCGCTCGCAAACTCCAGGCTTCCTATAGCTCCGTTACGCACAGACCGCTGTTTCATTTTGTTTCCCATCACCTATAATTCTCCGACGGCGCCGCTTCGATGCTCCTGTTTTCCTCATGTGCGATATGCTGAGTTATACCATATGCACAGCGTCCCACCTGTTCGCTCGTGTATTTCCAATACATGTGCTTTTTCTTCTTTTTCTTTTCTTTGACGATCTATGGAGGTGCCAGAGGACCTAATGCAATTGTGAATTATTGGGACTTAGGTAACTCTTTTATATTGCTTCCAGGCCCAAACATACTTTGAGGTAGAACCCAATAAAGCCACAGTGATTTATGAACTCCGCTTTTTCATCGGTTTTGGTATCCGTTCTGTTTTTTTTTTCTCTAAAGCAATCTTGAAAGGGGGCATATCTGTAAAGTGATAAGGAGAATGTTGATGATGATCGTTTTTGCATGCGGCGTGGGGACCAGAAAGAGAAAAAAAAAGGGAACAAATTGATGCCATTATACCGAATGGAAATTTCTGCCATGTTTGAGAATGACATCCAAACAATAGCTTTGTGTTTTCTTTTAAAAAAAACAAAAAATCTCCTTTTCTTCCCTCTCTCTCTCTCTTCCTCTTTCTTTCTCCTCTCATATCTTTAGATAACAAATACGCCCCTGCAGTGAGTCTAAACGGTTTTATATTCATCCTGGGAGGAGCCTACGCTCGAGCTACCACTATCTATGACCCAGACAAAGGCAACATCAAGGCTGGTCCCAACATGAATCACTCTCGGCAGTTCTGCAGGTAAGAGATAATTAATGTAGCGGCACCACATGTAAGTTTAATCCCCAGCGTGGAATTTGTACAGATATTTTTTTTTTTTTCAAAAGCATAAATTGTACGTTTGCCTTGTGTGAAGCTTCAAAAAAAAAAAAAACAGCTCTGACATTATTACACAGCCTTAAAAAAATAATGTAAAACTCAAGCTTATTAGTAGTCTGTCAGTCTTTGTGTCACAACACGGGTTGCACGGGGAAAATGCACGGAGGCCAGCTAATTAAAACCCGAACAAAGCCGGTTGTGGGCTGACAGTGTTTCCAACGCGGGTTGTGAAACTTCTCCCTCGGTAGGAGGACTGGCTTTCTAATTCACGGGCTTGATTTTTTAAAATTTGCTTGATCAGTAGCGCTGCTGTCTGTCGTGCCGAGAGGACGGAGACACGTTCAGTAGCAGGGACGCCTGTTTAACTCGGCCTTCCTTCTAATCATTTCGTGTAAATT